CTAACATATAAGATACTAAATAGAGAAAGTGAATGTCGGGATAGCCACAAAACTAAACAAAGATAGCATAGACAAAGTGTGACTAACCTGCAACAAAGAGGAGAACACAAAACACGTGTTTGCTCACTTGCATTCCAAGTTTAATGTGAGCTTGTTGGTATTAGTCTAATGAAGTCACACTACAAATCATTACAGCTCCCTATAGCTGCAGCCTCGTCATAGCATTACTGGGAGAGTTATTAATTTACTACATATGCATAAATTCTAATTACAAGGGAAAGGAGTCAAGAGAGATAATGTATAGGCAGGGTATAGTAGTCTTCTCTATAAACTAGCATATTCATTCATTCTCAGTACAACTTTCACATGCACAAGGCCTCAGTCAGTTCTTGGAACACTCTCATTTGGTAGGTCCCAGCTAATAATATCCATGCTTGCAGATTTAAAGCATACTTGTCCAACAGGCCATCCAAAGGTTAATTGTCCTCTGTCCAGTCTGTGAGTTGAGTTTTGTGCACATGATTACATGGGATGACAGTGCGAGCATAACCCTCAGAAAGAGTGCAGAAATATTAAACAGGTGAGGGCAATAAATACTCTCAGGGGTCATACTGGTGTTGGGCCCTGATCCTGCAGTGAATCAATCACCCCCTAGTGCAAGAATTTGCAATCTCAGGGAAGGGAAGCACAATTTCACAAAATAGGCAACACTGAAAGTCATCGCCAATGATCAATAAGACCTCTCACCCATCACTGGGTGTCAAACAATTCCATTGTGGCCAGGAAGACAGTCTTCCCTCAACTAACTAGCATGTAGCAAGGGTAACCTCTACTTAAAGGTACCCTTGCCTGGCCTTTTTTTGTGTATCAATGTATGTTGCATTAAGAAAACCTAGTCCCTTTGAATGGGTCCTTAGCAAGCCCCAATGCATTAAACAACACATCTGCACAATTTTGTCCAACACAGCATTCAGAATGAATGGCAATATGACATACATATACCATCTTCACACATGGAAAGATATGAATCCAGTCTTACTGTACAATTGTAATTGTCAAATATATACCTACAGTGCCTTGAAAAAGTATTCATACCCCTTGAATTTTCCACATTTTGTCATGTTACAACCATAAACTTAAATGTATGTAAGAAATTTTATGAGATAGACCAACACAAAGTGGCACATAATTGTGAAGTGGAAGGAAAATGATAAATGGTTTTGAATTTTTTTTACAAATAAATATCTAAAAAGTGTGGCGTGCATTTGTATTCAGCCCCCTTTACTCTGAGACCCCTAACTAAAATCTAATGGAACCAATTGCCTTCAGAAGTCACCTAATTAGTAAATAGAGTCTACTTGTGTGTAATTCAACCTCAGAATAAATACAGCTGTTCTGTGAAGCCATCAGAGATTTGTTAGGAACATTAGTGAACAAACAGCATCATGAAGGCCAAGGAACACACAAGACAGGTCAGGGATAAAAGTTGTGGAGAAGTTTAAAACAGGGTTAGATTATAAAAAAATATCCAAGGCATCTCACAGGAGCACTGTTCAAGCCATCATCTGAAAATGGAAAGAGTATGGCACAACTGCAAACCTACCAAGACATGGCTGTCCACCTAAATTGACAGGTCGGGCAAGGAGAGCATTAATCAGTGATGCAGCCAAGAGGCCCATGTTGACTTTGGAGGAGTTGCAGAGATCCACAGCTCAGGTAGGAGAATCTGTCCTCAGGACAACTATTCCTTGTGCACTCCACAAATCTGGCCTTTATGGAAGAGTGGCAAGAAGAAAGCCATTGTTAAAAGAGAGCCATAAGAAGTCCCGTTTGCAGCTTGCGAGAAGCCATGTGGGGGAAAAAGCAAACATGTGGAAGAAGGTGTTCAGGTCAGATGAGAACAAAATGTAACTTTTTGGCCTAAAAGCAAAATGCTATGTGTGGCAGAAAACTAACACTGCACATCACCCTGAATACACCATTCCCACCGTGAAACATGGCAGTGGCAGCATCTTGTTGTGGGGATGCTTTTCTTCAGCAGGGACAGGAAAGCTGGAGTGCTGCAGAAGACTTGAGACTGGGGCGGAGGTTCAACTTCCAGCAGAACAACAACCTTAAAAATACAGCCAGAGCTACAATGGAATGGTTTAGATCAAAGCATATTCATGTGTTAGAATGGCCCAGTCAAAGTCCAGACCTACAGTAAATCCAATTGAGAATCTGTGGCAAGACTTGAAAATTGCTGTTCACAGACACTCTCCATCCAAGCTGACAGAGCTTGAGCTATTTTTCAAAGAATAATGGGCAAGAATGTCCCTCTGTAGATGTGCAAAATGATACAGACATCCCCAAAAAGATTTGCAGCTGGATTTGCAAAAGGTGGTTCTACAAAAGTTTTTTTTACATTCAGCTGTCAGTGGGGAACCCCAGTAAGAGCTGAAACAATAAAGAATGTTTTTAGTAGCTGTGTGGTATCTTATTCAGATGGGGTAAGATACAGCTTAGTGAATTGTTCCCTCTGTTCGAAGTTTGTGCTCGAACTTTCGTTATGTTCAAATGTTCCACTGCAAACCGAAACAGGGGGGGGTTTGGCCTATCACTAGTGTTAACAAGCATTAAAAACTACAGTGCCTTGAAAAAGTATTCACACCCAAAAATTTTCCACATTTTGTCATGATACAACCAAAAACATAAATGTACTTTATGTGATAGACTAACACAAAGTGGCACATAATTGTGAAGTGGAAGGAAAATGATAAATGGTTTTCAACATTTTTTACAAATAAATTTGTGAAAAACAACAGGAGTGCATTTGTATTAAGCCCCCCCGAGTCAATACTTTTGTAGCTCCTGCTCTCTCAGTGCTGATTCCCTGAACTTCCGCTGGACAGTGCAGTATCCAGTCAGTTCTGTCAGGGGATTTGGAGAAGGAATGGGGAAGAAGAGCAATGGAGTTCCTTGCCATCCTAGGAGAAGAGAGTCACCCTGAAACAGCAAAACCGAGGCAGCAATTATACCATAGCATATCTTAAATTGCAACAAAGATCAAGAAGATGAGTAAGTGATTAAATCAGCTTCAGAAAGTGCTTAAAAAAAATCGAGGGTTTAATATACAGTTGTAAGAAAAAAAGTATGTGAACCCCTTAGGATTATGTGGAGTTTTGCATGAATTGGGCATAAAATGTGCTCTGAACGTCATCTAAGTCACAACAATAGAAGAACACAGTCTGCTGAACATAATACTACACAAACATTAGATGTTGCCATGGTTTAATTGCACATAACATGTAAACATTCACAGTGCAGGGAGGAAAAAGTATGTGAGGCCCTAGCTTAATGACTTCTCCCAGAGCTAATTGGAGCCAGGAGTGAGCCAACCTTGACTCCAATCAGTGTGATGATATTGGATGTGTTGCTGACAGCTGTCCTGCCCTTAAAAACACACACACCTGTTTTGGGTTTACTGGTTTCAAGAAGCACTGTCTGATGTGAACCATGCCTCGCAGAAAAGAGCTCTCAGAAGACCTACCATCAAGAATTGTTGACTTGCATGAAGCTGGAAAGGGTTACATAAGTATCTCCAAAAGCCTTGATGTTCATGTGTCCACGGTAAGACAGACTGTCTACAAATGGAGAAAGTTTAGCACTGTTGCTACTCTCCCTAGGCGTGGTCGTCCTGTAAAAATGACTGCAAGAGCACAGCGCAGAATGCTGCATGAGGTAAAGAAGAATCCCAGAGTGTCAGATAAAGACCTACAGAAATCTCTGGCACATGCTAAAATTTTTGTTGACACATCTACAATAAGGAAAACATTAAACAAGAATGGAGTACATGGGAGGACACCACGGAGGAAGCCATTGCTGTCCAAAAAGAATATTGCAGCACGTTTGAAGTTTGCAAAAGAGCACCTGGATGTTCCACAGCACTACTGGCAAAATATACTGTGGACAGATGAAACCAAGATTGAGTTGTTTGGGAAGAACACACAACACTATGTGTGGAGAAAAAAAGGCACAGCACACCAACATCAAAACCTCATCCCCACTGTAAAACATGGCGGAGGGAGCATCATGGTTTGGGGCTGCTTTGCTGCCTCAGGGCCTGGACGGATTGTTGTCATTGATGGGAAAATAATTCCAGAGTTTATCAAGACATTTTGCAGGAAAACGTACGACCATCTGTCCATCAACTGAAGCTCCGCAGAGGATGGGTGATGCAACAGGACAATGACCCAAAGCATACAAGTAATTCAACAAAACAATGGCTGCAACAGCACAGAATACGCCTTCTGGAGTGGCCCAGCCAGAGTCCTGACCTCAACCCGATTGAAATGCTGTGGCATGACATTAAGAGAGCGATTCACACCAGACATCCCAAGAGTATTGCTATACTGAAACAGTTTTGTGAAGAGGAGTGGTCCAAAATTACTCCAGATCATTGTGCAGGTCTGATCTGCAACTACAGGAAACGTTTGGTTGAGGTTATTGCTGCCAAAGGAGGGTCAACCAGTTATTAAGTCCAAAGGTTCACATACTTTTTCCTCCCTGCACTGTGAATGTTTACATGTTATGTGCAATTAAACCATGGCAACATCTAATGTTTGTGTAGTATTATGTTCAGCAGACTGTGTTCTTCTATTGTTGTGACTTAGATGACGTTCAGAGCACATTTTATGCCCAATTCATGCAAAACTCCACGTAATCCCAAGGAGTTCACATACTTTTTCTTGCAACTGTAATACCACACAAGTCTGTAGTAAAAACATTGGCCTGCAATAGCATACTCATTTGATCATAAAAAGAGATTAATTAGGATTTCAATGACTTCCTCTTTAATAGATGTATTATCATATAATAGTAGTAATAGCTTATTCCTGAATCTGGACTTGTGGACTGCTCAGAGCTGGAGATCTTCCAGGGTTGCTCCACCCAATCAAACAAAAACAAATCCCTATGTAAACTCTGCAGCTCCGTGTGTCTCAGTTTTCTCTTCCATGATGGACATAACAGGGATATTAACAGGAGTCTTCATACTGATCTGCTGCTTCTTCATCTATTCGACATGGGACACAATGTACAGAAGACCTAATCTCCCTCCAGGTCCTACACCTCTGCCCCTTATTGGAACTTTGCTGCACATTAAACATGGAGAACTAGTGAGCTCATTAATGAAGGTTGGTATCATTTTAATTCTATGTACAGGTCCTTATTTGAAAAAGGAGATATTTTTAGGGGGAGCATAATAAAATAATTTGGCCAGGGAACAGCAATTAGATCATATACAGTATTTCCTCCACTAGAAATCAAGGAGAAAGACCATGTGAAATGTTTTTTCTTTCTTACATTGAAGCTGTGGAAGCAATATGGCCCAGTCTACACTTTGTACTTTGGTCCTCGTCCGGTGGTTGTCATCTGTGGATATGAAGCAGTGAAAGAAGCTCTGGTGGATAAAGCAGAAGAGTTTGGTGCTCGAGGTCCTTTAAACCACATTGAGAAATTCACCCAAGGTTATGGTAAAAGGAACAATTCTTGACTATTATTGCATGTACAGTCTACTCCAATGATTTATATATTGAGCTTATTTTTCAAGATTTACACTTAATTTATGCATTATTAGATACAAGGCTGCAATCACACCTAGCATTTTTGGAACGCACAACAAACAAGCTGCAAACACGCATTGCGCTTGCACTGCCATTAATTGTTACTGGCACCACAAGTGTGGGTATCAGGCATGTGTTTTGCTGCATGTTTTGTAGCATGGTAAACGCACTACAAGTGCATCAAAATGCAGAGGTGAAAAAAAATACTCCAATCCAAAAAAGATTCTGGGGCTTCTTTGGGGAAGTTTGTCTCATATGTACGGCAGTCATTTCCAGTGGATAGGCTGCCCTATGCGTGACATGGGGAAACACTTGAAAAATGCAAAAAATCCCCAAAAAACTCAAATCAAAATGCAAGTTCCTGCTACACTCAGGTGTGAATCCTATGTAACCAAAGGCAAAACTTTTTTTTAGATTTGGATAGAGTAAAGAGAGGGAATTAGAACACCTATTAGATTTTGTTTGCTGTCTGTGTCCCCCCTTAGGGAGATTCACCCTCTCCACTTTTTATCAAAAGTGAATGTAAAACAAAATCCCAAATTTTGGATTGACATTAGAACACTAACAGAAGGAAAATCTTTCAATGGGGACACTAGTTTTGATGACCCTGGTGACACCCCAGTATTCCTCTAACTTCCTGTTTTTGGATATGGGACAGGAAGTAAAGAGAAATATCCTCTATGGGAAACAGCAGAAGCAGGGGCGGACTGACCAGTTGGAAACTCGGGCACTGCCCGAGGGCCCGGGGTCAGTAGGAGGTCCCATGAGATGCCCTTGGTACCTTTTTCATAGGCTTTTTTGAGTTTGGGCAAGGACACAGGGGCCTCATGATCCCCTATTGCCCAGGGGCCCCATGAGTTGTCAGTCCGCCCCTGAGCAGGAGTTATAACCCTCCCTTACTCTATCCAAAATGGAATAAAGTTTTGCCTTTAGTTATACTAAAGTAACTTAATATACCAATTATACTTTAAAAAAAGCATTTACAAGGCCCTTGTTCTTAAAAGAGCTTACAATCTAATGCCTTTATCAAAGATGCATTTGTGTATCCGCACAAGAGAATTTTGTGGGGAATAAGTTAAAGTATATCTAAGCCAAAAAATAAAATGTCATATATTGCAGCTTACAAGTCCCTAGATGTGATGGCTGCTTTATTTTTCATTTTTCTTTATTATGTATGTGAATGTACCTTTCACCAAACATCCTCTAATGGTGAATTAAAGTGGTACTACAGCTTTTAAAAAAATAATAAAATAACAAACATGTTATATTTACTTGCTCTGTGCAGTCATTTTGCTAACAGCTGCCCGATCCTCTTCTTCTCGGGTCACCCACCAAATCTCCTGGCTCCTCCCCCTTGACCATTGCTCCCAATAGCAAGCTGCTTGGTATGTGGGCACTGGTGCTCAGTCCCAAGCCCCACTTGTGTCATAAGACACATAAAGACGTGGATTGGCCCGGCCCCTACTCTCTACTCATTGGCTCACTGACTGTGATTGACATTGAGGAGAGAGAGACCTGGGACAGCCGAGAATCCTGTGCATATCACTGGATCAAGAGGGGACTCAGGTGAGTACTGTGGGGGGGGAGCAGCACAAAAAAGTTTAACCAGGCATAGAATGCATGAAGGTAAAAAAAAACCTTCAACCACTTTAAGGTTTGTTATTTTGTGAAATTAAACATTCATATATAATGAAAATATTTGAAATTACTCGTTTTTTCATATGCAACTGAATCAATGCAGTTAGGCACGGCATTTTTCAAACATAAAACTTGCATTAGACTGTGGAACTGACTGACAATTACAAAGCAGGAAACAGCCGAGACCTAACCTCCATTCAAAACCTCTGGGCACTAAAACGTAGTATTGTAAAAGAAAAACCCGCTCTCATCCAAATAAAACAAATGAATCCACATGAATATACACTGCTCAAAAAAATTAAAGGAACACTTTGAAAACACATCAGATCTCAATGGGCAAAAATATCATGCTGGATATTTATACTGATATGGACTGGATAATGTGTTAGGAGCATAAGGATGCCCCATCGTTTGATGGAAATGAAAAATGTTCTATTGGATTTAGGTCAAGCGAGCGTGGGGGCCATTCAATTGTATCAATTCCTTCATCCTCTAGGAACTGCCTGCATACTTTCGCCGCATGAGGCCGGGCATTGTTGTGCACCAGGAGGAAGCCAGGACCCACTGCACCAGCGTAGGGTCTGACAATGGGTCCAAGGATCTCTGTCTAGCCCTGTAGAGGTCTGTGTGTCCCTCCATGGATATGCCTTCTCAGACCATCACTGACCCACCACCAAAACGGTCATGCTGAACGATGTTACAGGCAGCATAATGTTCTTCACGGCTTCTCCAGACCCTTTCACGTCTGTCACATGTGCTCAGGGTGAACCTGCTCTCATCTGTGCTAGTGGCGAACCTGCCAATTCTGGTGTTCAATGACAAATGTCAATCGAGCTCTATGGTGCCGGGCAGTGAGCACAGGGCCCACCAGAGGATGTTAGGCCCTCAGGCCACCCTCATGAAGTCTGATTGTTGGTTCAGAGATATTCGCACCAGTGGCCTGCTGGAGGTCAATTTGTAGAGCTCTGGTAGTGCTCATCCCTTTCCTCCTTGCACAAAGGAGCAGATACTGATCCTGCTTATGGTATACGGACCTTCTACGGCCCTGTCCAGCTCTCCTAGATTAACTGCCTGTCTCCTGGAATCTCCTCCATGCTCTTGAGACTGTGCTGGGAGATACAGCAAACCTTCTGGCAACGGCACGTATTGATGTGCTATCCTGGCAGAGTTGGACTACCTGTGCAACCTCTGTAGGGTCCAGGTATCGCCTCATGCTACCAGTAGTGACACTGACCCTAGCCAAATGCAAACTAGTGAAAAACAGTCAGCAAAGATGAGTAGGGAAAAAAATGTCATTGGCCTCCACCTGTAAAGCCATTCCTGTTTTGATAGTCGTCTCATTGTTGACCATCTAGTGCACCTGTTGATAATTTCATTAACACCAAAGCAGCTGAAACTGACTTACAACCCCCTCTGCTACTTCACTGACCAGATCAATATCCCAGGAGTTTAATTGACTTGATGCTATACTCTGATTGAAAAGTGCTCCTTTAATTTTTTTGAGCAGTGTATATTCATTACACTAGGTACACTATATTTATTGTTACTAGGTTGAATTCATTTCCCAACTGGCTATGTTTGTTGGCCCTGTACATACAAATTAAACAAATGGTCTCTCATGTTCAACCCCAATACAAAAAGAATCATACTGGAATACTGTATTCATGCTACACTTACTAGGATAAAAACTAATGGATCAAAATCAATTTAGATCATTCGTTATGTTGTTACATTATTTTAGATGCTTCAAACATTAAGAAAAGGTCCGAACTACTGCATCATGTCATCCAAATGAAACTAATGAATACACATGAATTTGTTGGGTTTTTTTATATTTTATATAATAAAATTCTAATATATATAAAATATAATTTATTTTATATAATAAATTATATAATTCTATAATTTATTTTGGAGTCGCTGAAATGTTTTACTTTTTGTGATTCAGAGATTTGGATACATCTGAATTTCTGAATCACGCAAATGTTGTCTGAATTTTGATTTCTTAAATAAACAAACCGCACATGCCTACTACATAGCCCTTTCAGATCTGTCTGTCTGAGCAAACTAACGTATTTACTGTACATATTTAGATACTGTACAATATTACATAAGAGTCTAGTATTATAAAGGGCACCTCCAGGTATTAAGTAAAGTCCATCAGTGAATTGATACTACAACCATGCTGAAGTCAGGAATCATTATTATTATTATTCAGGATTTATATAACACCAGCAGTTTGCATAGCAGTTTAGAATATAATGGGGGCAGTAAAATTACAACATAGCTGAATACAGAAGGAATAGGTGAACCCTGCTGGTGGAGCTTACATTCTAAAATGAGGAATAACATTTGATGCACTCTGAGTTACATTTCACAGGACTTCTAGGTAGGAAGGTAGATGCTGATCAAAGAAATCTGTGTTAAAAAAATCTCTATCTCTCCTTCCACTGCAAGTAGATGAAGATCAGAAAGTGGGCAGTGCTGGAACTGTGGAACACAATGAGCTGGATTTTCATAGGTTTATATTCAGTGTCCTTCAGAAGGTGTAGATCTATAGGGGTTAGTCTACCTGGATCAATATCAGGATGAAGATTAGATGCAAACAAATCTATTCAGAAGTTAGATCATGGCCACAAGTTAGTTTAAATGGCAAATGTTCACAATTGACTGGTGCGTGCCTTTAATTCCAAACTAATTTCTCATGCAGGGATTAGTCTGAGCAATGGGGAAAGATGGAGAATCACACGGACCTTCACGTTAAGAACACTGAAGAGTTTTGGGTTTGGAAATAAGAACATTGAAGGGAAGATACAAGAGGAAGCTTTGTGTTTGGTGGAAGAATTCAGTAAGTTTCAAGGTTAGTACAGAATAATTCATTAAAATAAAAAAAAACAAAATGAATGAATTAATTAATCTTTATTTTATTATGTTTATATCAGAAAAATGAAGAAATCTGATTTTTTTTTTAATAAATGTTCTGTCCCGAAGGGGATAACAAAGGCTAGCTATGTGGTCAGACAGGATGCTGCCACTATCTTTTTATATCTGCCCATCCATGCAGCTTCCAAGGAGACAGCTGTATTGATAGCTGGCCCTTATTTCTAGCTCCAAGCACTTGACAAGACAAGCACTGGCAAAAGGAATGAGGAAGGAGGGAAGCGTGCATTCCTTTTGCTGATGCTTATCTTGGAATAGTGCCTAGAACTGGAAATAAGTGACAGCTATCAATGCAGCTGTCTAGATAGCCTTCCACAGCAGGGAGGAGGATGGGACAAAGTACTACATGTGTCCTGCCCCTTGCAAAGAAAATTCTTCTCCTTTAAAGTGTATCCCCAGGCAAAACTTTTTTTTGTTGTTGTTGACAGAGTGGGGAAGGGTTAGACCCTCTGTCAAGTTGCTGTTTGTGTCCCCATTAAGGAGACTCACCTCTCTCATTGTACTGGTGGCCACTGCCACCAAGAAAGTGAAATGCAAAATATTAGAGTTGTCTCAAGAACAAGGGGTAAGAGGATATCTTCTAATGGGGAAATTGATTCTTGGGACATCTGCCTAAGAGGAAAATTCCCCTTACTTTTGGTTGAGGTGAATGTAGCCCTATTAGTGCACTTGCAGAAAAAACAACTGAGTACTGGTGATAATACTTTTTCATTTGAACTAACATCCAAATTTTGAGAACAAGCTTTTAGGATGTCCAAACAGTATTCTTACTTTTGAAGAATTCATCTAACTTCCTGCTGCGTCTCTGCGAAGGGAAAAATAGTAACCCTTCCCTACTCTATCCAAAACTAAAAAAAAAATGTTGCCTATACATACACAGTAAAACATATCCACTTTTCTTAACATGTAATATGAGATTTTTTTGAATTTTTAAGGCAGTGGTTTGCTGTTAAAAAATGTCAAAATGTTCACCAGATTGTTTTCTCTTCACAAAATATATTTGAAGGGTGTAATTATATGGGACTAATCACAGTTTAAAATTCCTACTGCTGCCATGACCTGAGCTGAGTAGAGTACAGAGATATACTAGAGCGAGGGACTGTGCTGCTTTGAAGAGACCACATACTAACTATTCTGCTGTTGTGTCTTCTGTTCCATTGAGAGATTACAGTAGAGTTCCAGTGAGATACTGTGGCTGAGATCCAAGGAGAGACTGCAGCTGAAATGCACTGAGAGTCCACAGCTGATCCTGACCTTCTGTAAAGAGGACCATCTGGTGCTTCTGCAGAAAGCTTTCTCTAGAGGGGAGAGGCCTTTCACTGGCTACTGAGGGACTACCTGAGACACAGGGACTAACTATGTCAGTGGTGAGAGGCTTCTTGGCCACCAACTTATTCAGTCAAGCCCTCCATTAGAGGAAAGGGCCCCAACACTTGCATGACTGCTCTACAGTTATTTAGAGTCCCATCGGCCACTGGCATAGACAAAACTGTTGTTCACAGGTGGACCTGGAGTTTAAGATTCTGTATGTTCTAGTACAATAATTTTTCTATTGTTGCATGTAAATACAACAAGACAGCTGAATAACCATGCAGGGAGTTACCAACAAGGAACAAGTTATATAGGCATGAGTGAAATCACATGCAACCAGGGGCGGACTGACCATTTGGAAACTCTGTCACTGCCCGAGGGCCCGGGGTCAGTAGGGGGCCCCATGAGATGCCCCTGGTACCTTTTTCATAGGCTTTCTTGAGTTTGGGAAAGGACACAGGGGCCCCATGATTCCCTATTGCCCAGGGGCCCCATGAGTTGTCAGTCTGCCCCTGCATGCAACTAGACATTTTGGCAGTGCCAAACTTTCACTGAGCAACCACACGGTAGGAGCTGACAGTCCGCGTACGTTGCCTAAGCCTAAAGGCCCCGATGCATATCTAGAGAAAACAAAAATGGTAAACCGGTTAGCTTGTGCCAAGAATAAAGGAAAGAGAAAAAAAAAAAAAAAAAAAAGGCGGGGGGGGGGCTGATAAGAGAAGAGAGAAAGAGGAAGTTTCCTGTAGGGGAGAAGATGGAAACTAGAGGGAATGGGGGAGGCCGCTGGGTTCTGTATTTTAAATAGTGCCCCCGTATTTGAAGCTATGTTAAAGTGGAATACCGGGCTAAAGTTAACTATTCTAAAAACTGCTCCCACCCCCCTCTAACACCTACACCAACCACCCAATAAAAGAAAGATATGTATACTATATTAAGGCCACTTCAGTCCAGTCACATGATCAAATCCCCTGGGTCAGCTAGGAAAGGCTTCAGGGGAGAGAAGGGTATGCCCACAATGGATGGCCTATAGTAATTCTCTAGGTGACACCACCACTCAGTCATTCCAGTGTTTGTTGAGCACTTTCTTCTCTCCCCTGTCGCTGGTGCTGCCTGAAACAGGGGAGATCACATTACCAGATCAAAACAGCTTAAAAATAGGTAAGTATACAGATCTTCCTCCACAGATTAGTTAGTATAGGTGTTGGAAGGGGAGGTGGAAGCAGTGTTAGGATTAGTTAGCTTTAGCTAACTGAATTTCACTTTAACACAGCTTCAAATACAGGGTGCACTACACAAAATACAGAATCTCAAACTCCTGGCCTATCTATGAACAAAAGTTCTGTCTATGACACTTGCCAATGGGACTAAATAATTGTAGAGTAGTCATGCTAGGGTTTGGGCCCTTTACACTGATAGAGGGCTTACTTGAATATGATGGTGGCCAAGAAGCCTCTAACCACTGACAAAATTACTTTGTTGCTGTTGTCATCCGGGTCAATGTAGAGGGTGAAAATACTCTTACCCCTTCCCACTCAACCCAAGCATCCCTTTACCAGGGTTTGAATGTAGGATCAGTAATCATGTGACCACTATGATGGCTGTCACATGATTGGGAGCTGGTCCCTCCAGCTACAGATTGTTAGTGGGGACCAAGAGCTGTCTTTATCAGCTTGGTCTCTGTGCTGGGAGGCACAGTGAGCATGCTCACAGCACCAAAACATTGGTTGCTCAGTGATGCATGTGTGCAGCATGATGACGTTAAAGCACACCCTTTTGTTGCCACACATGTGTTACGCAGGCAGCAGCGGGGTAAGGCTGCCCATAGAGGGGTCATTTTTTTGGGGGTTTTTTATTCAATTTGAGAGCTGAAAAAAAATCTAGAAAAAAAAACTCCATCTTAAGGAATCCCCCTGCCAAAACATTGCATTCTAACAGCTGATTTTGCTGCTGTTTGGATATACTGATCAGCGGCTGTAGATGCTCATCAACAAATGTTTTCCAGAAGACAATCGAACAATCAACATCTGTTGAACAATTATGGCCACACATTGATCAGAATTTTAGTCAGTCTATGGCCACCTTTATTCTAGTCCTTAGAGGGCTCCAGTAAACAAGAGAGATCAGTTTTTGAAATAATTTAAAATTTATATTTAAGAATCCTTAACAAGTTCTTTAGGATAAAGCATGGTTGAGATAAAATTCACATGATAATATTTTCTGTTCCAGGTGTTCCACTAGATCCAGATGATCTGCTCATGACTACATTCTCCAATGTTCTGTGCTCTATATTATTTGGAGATCGCTTTGATTACAAAGATGAGACGTTTTCCAAACTCCTGGTCATTATCAGGGACTCATTCAGTCTTGCAAGTTCTACATGGGGACAGGTAAAAACAAATTGTTAAAATTTGCATTTTTTTATGTAAATGACTTTAAACCAGCTGTCTTGAAATTTCGTAAACAAAGGGCCGGTTTACTGTGCTTTAGGTTTTAGGGGGGTAGACTGTGGCCAGTTAGAACAGAAAATGCCCCAACATCTGTAGAGGTCAGCAATGCCTCAGACTTGGTGATCAGTGGGACTAAAAGAAATTAGTTAATGTCTGTGGTCAGAAGGATGAGGAATATTGCCCCGTTACTGGTATTAATGGGAGGAACAGGTGTCCTGTTGTTGGATCTCATTTGGAGACCACACTGCCTTAAGTCATCAAACTATTACATCTTTTCTGAAAGCATTTATATAGAATATATTTTATATTATAGAATAAAATGATGGTGGTTGAATTTTTTTAATGTCTCGCAATACATGGGCAACTGTTTATGAAATGCATTTTTACAGGAAAAAATACACTAAGTATTGATAGCGCAAATTTTTTACCATTCAGGTTTTAAACAGTACAAATGCAAAACCATGTTCAAACAGTAAAAATAGGCATCAGCATATACAGTTGCCTACCTGGCCTGCAATATTGCTTGCAAAACAGCTAAAGTAAGAAGTTTTAGCATGAATTTCATACGATTCTGTATGTCTTATAGGGCCAACCTATTCACTTAAATGGACTGCCTTAGGCGCATTTGTCACTTGAAAGGAAGCCCCTGCTCCTTTTCAGACAAAAAGTTTCATACTTTTTAAAGGTACAGTTTGCTGCGATTGCCATGCAATCCTGTTGTGCAACAATTGCAGCCAAATCGTGTCACTATTGGGGTGCCATTGAAGAATAATACAGATGCAGAATCTATTGCTTATTTTTTCTATGGGATGGGCTAATACATACAATAAAACTCACCTTAACCCACAGTCCAGCAATCTTCCCCCTCTTCATTTCTTCTTGTGATGACTTGTCCACTGAAGCAGCTCTTCTTGAAGGTCTCTGACTGATTTTGTTGCCACCACTCCTGCTGACATCATCACCACACTGGTAATCACTGCATTACCAGTGGCCACGTCATCAGGATGGGACATGACCACCCATATTCCAGCAATGGAGAGCAGGGAACCAGACCACAATCTGTTGCAGAACCATGTTTAGCAAAAGTACTAGTGTGTTAGCTCACTTCTTTAAAAAGTTATCAAGTTTTTCATCAGTGGGAAAGGGCAATATTAGTTATACATTTAGGTATAGCACTACCCTGTAAATTATTTTCGGGCTCCCTGTCACTCTGAACCCCTTTGTGAAAGCCCAACCCCTGCTGAGACACCATAGTACTCTTCTGACCAGAGTAAACTATCACCAGAAAATAGACTCACACACAGATTAGAGTGAACTGACTTGATATTTATATTAAACTTGGATGTAAGCTCGGTCAAACAGCATAGAGTGGTATATGTGTACATAATGGCAATTACTACTCTTAGTAACTCTAAGCAAAGAAAACGACACATACAGCAAAATCTCAATCAGTGTTGGCAGGTGTGCTATTCAGAAGCTAAGCCAAAAACTCAAGCCTGAAGTGCTTCTAGTCCCCAGTCAGCAAGGAAAACTATCAAGGGTGGAACTAATTCACTCTGGACCCTCAGGATCTGATGGCAGGAAGACTGAACTCTGTTCCTGCATGCAGCGCTTACCCCCACAGGAGCCGCTGGTGATGGTGGGTCCTCTTTTCTGCCATGACTCTCTTAACCTCTCACTTCCCACTGATGCACCTGGTCATAGATTAAAAGCTGTTTACACCTGTGTGATTCACAAGTTATTAATCTATCACAATATGATAATTCACAGGAATTAGACCACAAGCAACTAAGTGATAAATGAATTGTATGGATGTATTATGGCAAATTGCAATTTAACAGGACATGAATCAATGAATAGATAATTATATAGACCTAAAGGCATTATAAAGGATGCATGCTAATGACCCACAAACTGGCACTCAAAAGACTATAGCAAAGTTAAATTGAACTATAACAGGTGAAACTACAGTCTCTAAAATGGCATCAGCTATATCAGAATAATAGGGTCCATGTGTGCACACTGCATACAATCCCAGCAGTCGGTGAGAGTATGCGTTCCTAGTGTATGGGGTACCCCTTTGAGGATGGTGAAAAGTACCTGGCCCTTAATAGATACCAATGGCTGACTTCCAGTGGGGCCCTTCTTTAGGTGCTGCACTGTCCCTTAAGCCTGTTAGTGATGTATGTAGAGGAGCAGTTGGGTAAAAGCAGTCTCAATGGTGTTGGCTATGTGTGTGGCAAAAAAAGGTTAAGGTGTGTAGTTCAGTTCACCACTGCCAGCAGGTGACTAATCTAGTCCCAATGGCTTGGTGATCAGCAGGTTGCAGAAATCTCAGGCCTCATGATCTGTTCCTGACTGGCTCTTTCAGGCTGTAGGCCCAGGTAGCAACATATCCCTCCAGCTTTGGGTTTCGATGAGGTCAAATAACTTTCAGTGGCCCAGTCATGTGGTCCCTGGTATGGCACAGGCACCCAACGTTGGGTCTGCACTGCTACAGGTCTACACACACACAAAAGATCCAAAGCAGCTAAGTCTCTCTTAAATAGGTACAGCTTATGTAGAAGAATTTGTTTAATCTCTAGGTATCACCTGAGGCCAGTCACTTACTTGGGTATATGTGAGGGTTTACAACCACTTTAACTAAAGGCAGGAACAACAATATAATGAAGTAGCAGTGACAGTGTGTTAATGACAGGATCAACAGATTTGATATACTGTACTTTATTGCAAATTTATATTCTATAAAACATCTGTTTTACTATTTTATTGTGACTTTAATAAATGAATGGAATCTGAATGATCCTAAATATGTTGCACTTTCTTTGATATATACCAAAGTTATTTTGTATAGAACAGTTGTAAGGATTCTCATTTCAGTGACTGAGTTTTGATGGAAATCTCTCCCATCTTTCCAGCTGTACAGCATTCTTCCTACCCTTATGGAATACATTCCTGGACCTCACCACAAAACAACACTGCTATCTGAGAAACTTGCTGAACATATACATGAGAAGGTGAAGTCCAGCCAAGAGACTCTGGATCCCAGCATTTCAAGGCACTTTATTGACAGCTTCCTTATTAAAATGGAACAGGTATTTATATAATTAAATCATTTAATTAGTTTCCACTAATCCCACCTTACAGCATTTTAAAGGGTCCGATGCTCATTTTTGTTAGTCTCTGCCTTTGAAGAATGTTACAGTCTAGTGTCCCTACCATAGCCATACAGGTACATTCAAGGGAAAATTTCTAATATGATAAAATTGACCATGCTCAAAATAGATAATCACAGACAATGAGAGAGAGAGAGAGAGAGAGAGAGAGAGAGAGAGAGACAGCACAAAATGCTACAGGAGCGTACCTGAGACTGCTTGGAGACACTGGTGTCACAGAGGTACTTAGGGTGCACTGGAGTCACAGGTTGATTCAGGATGCTTTGGGATAGACTGGGATCACAGGATGCACATGGCACACCGGAATCATTACATGATACAAAATTCTCTGGGGTCACTGGCCAACAAAGGATGCTCTGGGACCACTGCTCTGCACAGGATGCTCTGGGATCACTGTGCAATACAGGATGCTCAGAGTGCTATGGAATCACTGAGGTTGGGGGTGACAGAGGATGCTCAAGATGCTCTGAACTCAAAGGCACCAAGGGGTGACACAAGGTGCTCTGGAGGCAATGGGTCACACAGGATGCTCAGGGTGCTCTGGAGTTCTAGGGGTCATGGGGTTACACAGGATGCTCTGGGTGGCTGGAGTTGCAAGGGACACAGTGGTCATTGGCTTTACTGTACATGAGCAAATAAAGATGAACACCAGGGCAAAGGTTAGAAGCAGGATGCAAGTAGTAAGAATAATAAATTCTGGTTTAGCAGGAGCTTCAGAATCTTGGAAATCAAGAGCGTAAGAGTGCATCAGCTCTGGAAGAACCAGGCTTGAAGATGATCACAAAGTTGAGAAGAGAGAAGAACAGGGGCCAACAGACATGCCTCAAATTCAAATGATAAGCAATTTGGGTTTGAATAATGAGATAGACTTATTTCATTGCTAATTTTTAGTATCCACCTGTATCTAGTTTTCTTCCCATGTTATTACATATTCACTAGTCTTTTAAAATGTCCCTTTATATTTTTGATAGAATGGGGAGTTCTTCTTTAAGACCATACACACAATAGATTGATGTATAACAACTTAGCACTTATTGTCTTTTCAACAGAGTTTCCCTTAAAAACAAATTGCAGTTTATGGTAGAAAGAATAGTTTTCATTTAAGATTATATATGTAAAGCAGAGTTCCACTCAAAAATGGAAGCTCTGCTTGCCTGCCTCTTCCCCTGCCATATTTGGCACTTTTTGGGGGGGAGCAGGTACCAGTTTTTGACAGGTACCCGCTCCTACTTCCGGCTCAGTTCACAGCAGCGAAGTGAGCCGGAAGTTCAGCCCCCTCCTTCCTCCTGCAGTCTCCTGGGAACCTTCACAGGTCCCAGCAGACTGCCGGACCAATCAGAATGTGCAGTGCGACTCGTGCATGTGCAGTGAGCACAGCTGGGTGCCCACAGTTGTGATGCCGTCACTGAGGAGAGAAGAGGGAGAGAAGGGACTGTGCAGGTGAACACATTGCTGGACCCTGGGACAGGTAAATGTGTGTTTATTAAAAGTAATTTTTTTTGTAGCTGCTGACTTTTTTATAAACACAAAACTAACTGTAACTCCGCTTTAATATATTGACATTAAATAACACAATCTTTTGGAATGAGTTCGGTTTTTAAAGTTTTAATGGAATCCCCAAAAACTCTTTTAGGCAAATCCCTTTTCATTTTATATTGAAAGAACAGTGTAGAGTTGTCCTGTAATTTTAGTCTTTTACTTTTGCCTGCTTTTCAGTGGATTTATGTGCTTGCAGTTTAGTTGCAGTACATATACCTCCTAACCTCAAGAGGGCAATACTGATTTAATATTTAATTAGGCTTATTGTGTTTTGAGGTCTATTTCCCATCAACATCGTATGCCCAACGCACTTTGTATTAATGTATCTGGAACGGTTATATATCTTTACAGGGGTTAATTTTCATTGGGTACATGAAGAGTTGAGAATATGAGTATAAATATCAAATAAAAAAAATTCCCAGCTCAACTTACCAACCAGCCTGCAACCAACTGAATTGTCCTGTCTAACAGTTCATGTTAAAAACAGTTTAGTTTGCACATATTTGTAAATACACTATAATGCCAAAAGTATTGGGAGACCCCTTCAAATCATTGGATTCAGGTGTTCCAATCCCCTCCATGGCCACAGGTGTATAAAATTAAGAACTTAGGCATGCAGACTGCTTCTACAAACATTTGTGAAAGAATAGGTCACTCTCAGGAGCTCAGTGACTCCAAGCGTGGTACCGTGATAGGTGGCCACCTGTGCAATAAGTTCATCTGTGGAATTTCCTGGCTACTAAATATTCCACGCTCAACTGCTAGGGGTATTATAACAAAGTGGAAGCAACTGGGAACAACAGCAACTCAGCCACACAGTGGTAGGCCATGTAAAATGACAGAGCGGGGTCAGCGCATGCTGAAGAGCACAGTGCGCAGAAGTTGCAAACTGTCTGCAAAGTCAATAGCTAAAGACCTCCAAACTTCATGTGGCCTTCAGTTTAAGACAACAACAGTGTGGAGAGAGCTTCATGGAATGGGTTTCCATGGCTGAGCAGCTGCATCCAAGCCTTACATCACCAAGTGCAATGCAAAGCTTCGGATGCAGAGGTGTAAAGCACACTGCCACTGGACTAGAGCAGTGGAGACGTGTTCTCTGGAGTTACGAATCACGCTTCTGTTTGGCAATCTGATGGATGTGTCTGGGTTTGGCAGTTTTCCTGACTGCATTGTGCCAAGTGTAAAGTTTGGTGGAGGGGGGATTATGGTGTGGGGTTGTTTATCAGGGGTTGGGCTTGGCCCCTTAGTTCCAGCGAAAAGAACAATTAAGGCATCATCATACCAAGACATTTTGGACACTTTCATGCTCCCGACTTTGTGGGAAAAGTTTGGGGATGGCCCCTTCCTGTTCCAACATGACTGCACACCAGTAGGCAAAGCAAGCTTCATAAAGACATGGATGAGTGAGTTTGGGGTGGAGGAACTTGACTGGTTTGCACAGAGTCCTGACCTCAACCCCATAGAACACCTTTATTAAAAGGAAGGTATAAAACTCACATGCAGATCTTGGATACAGGCATTCTATCTAAAGCTGTGCCAGGCTCTGGTTACCAACATTGGTAAACGGAGCCTGGAGGAGCTTTATATAGAATGCCTGTATACAAGATCTGCATGTGAGTTTTATACCTTCCTTTTAATAAACATTTTATTGGATTTACACTGTTGGAACCTTCTCTCCCTTATGTGAGTGTTATATCAATATTACCCAGAGCTGGTGATTAGTCTCTTATCTGCTGATGCTGTTGCTTCTGTCTATGAAAGCTTTTGTTGACGTTTCTTACAAGGTCACAGGGCTTCTGGAAAGCCTTTTGATCTATTGGTGATTCGCACATGGTGATTCCATTTACACGAGATTGGGGAAGAGGACCAATGATTTATTTATTTATTATTTCATGCACTGGGTGGCAGTTATCCACATCCTATGGACTTTTTGTCATTTGTGCTTTTTATTATTCATACATTAACCTTTTAGCGCTGCACAATTTTGTATATGTTTGTGGAATATAGTGTGTCCTATATTTGGTGCTGGCAGCTATGTTTTGTATTCATTTTTAATATCTTTATTCACATTTTTCATTTGTAGCACGGCTTTCTTATTATTTATATTTTTATAAGTGCTTGACTTACTCAAGCTTGTTCATTTATGTGAACTGACACTGGAAGAAGGCAGGTTGTCTTCCTTGCATTCTTGGCTAATCACAAGGGAAGGCATAACAATTAAACAAGGTTATCAAACATGTCATGAGATTTGTTGTCAGGGAGAAGGAGGGTCTTGCTTCTGCCATAGATATGAACTGTAACATTTCCCATCTTTCTGCAGGAAAAGAATGTCCCCAACACTGAATTTAATTTGCAAAATCTCCTAGTTACCGCCCATAACTTATTCCTAGCGGGAATTGAGACTGTGAGTACCACCCTACGGTGTAGCCTCCTCATCATGCTGAAGTACCCAGAGATACAAGGTGACTACAAGGGGGGAAACCACTAAAAACTAAATTAAAAATGTTCAAATATGTGATAGGTTGCAATGGGGAAACAGATACTTTTTGCAGATTATGTAATTTTGTCATATTGCTGTTTCAATGACTGTCATGAATGGTTGAATCTATCAATGAATGCAAATGGCATGTCTGGTAGATGATATGTATGGAATCTTCCAACCAAAAGTAGAACTCTGGCAGTGACTCCACTCAGTTGGGCATTGTGTAATGCAAGTGGGACCCCCAACTGAGATAAGCTTACCTCCAGGCTTAGTACTCACAGTTTTTCTACTTCTGAAAATAATGGCAGCCCAAATTCAGTTGAATGTCATTTAAAAACTTAAGTGGTTGTAAATCTTTACATACAACTAGTGAACTGACTGGCCTCAGATGATACACATAGATTAAACAAATCCTCCTACATAAGTTGTACCTGTTTATCCGAGGTATTATCTTCTTTACATCTGTTCAAAGTGCTGAATTTCTGAAGCTTATTTTGAACATTGCACTTTAAGGATTTTTTCTTCACTTGTGATGGACTTTATTGCATACACTTGTTTTTTTATGTTTGTTATATGTATCTGGATTTTATGACATATTTTAATCTTTTAAAGTGATAGTGCACCTAATTTAGATTAATATTATTATTATTATACAGGACTTATATAGCGCCGACAGTTTGCTCAGTGCTTTATATTATGGAGGGAGACAGTACAGTAACAATACAGTTCAATACAAGAGGGATTAAAGGGCCCTGCTCCTTGGAGCTTACAATCTAGGAGGGAGGGGATAGTGGTACAAGAGGTAATTGGCTGTGGGGGATGGATTGGTAGGAGGAGTAGGGGATTCCAGTATTAGCTGGAATATTATCTATAATAATAATCTTATATATAATATTATATATATTAGTATATATATATTAATTATATTATTAATTAATATTATAATTATATTATTATTAATATTATAATTATTAATTATATTATATAATATTATATATTATATATAATACTAATATCTTCCAATTATAGTATTTATTTAATCTTTGGTTTAATTAGTTGTTTGTTTTAACTCACCCTTAAGTAACACTTGCAGGTCCTTCTCCCAGTGAAAGAAGTAGCTGACTGATAAAACTGTATAATCTCCCTGGCAAACTGCCCTTACCTTCTATCAGCATGCCCCTTTTTAGAACATGAGCACTGCAACACAACTGACTGGTTCCTTGTGCTGATCCTCCCATTCCTAGTCTTAGTTCTGCTGTATAGTGATGTGCAAGGGGCTGAAACCAGGTCAAGTTTGGGTGTAGAGAAAATGATATGGGCAGTGACTGTAGAAAAGCCTTTTAAGTTGGCATCCTTCTCCAGGTTATGTGGTAACCATACCCTGCCAATCAATAGGTTCTGTAGGGCTGGGGTATAAGGAGTCAGTTAGTGGGCCTAAATAGGAACTATGTGGACTTCCCCTTTGGGGGAAGCTTGAGGACTGATATGGGAGGTATTGCTGACTAGGACATTGCTAGACTGTAGGTCTCACTTCTTGAAATACTCCATGAGTTATTAGAACTTTAAGTATTTTGTAATTCATTCAAGTGTGGTGCCACCATTGTCCTGTATGGCTGTTTGTCCATATGACCTTTTTGAGTAAAGCCTGCTTTTAGCATTGAAAGAAGCTGCAGTGGAATCTGTTAGTCGGTTCCAATTGGGATTACTGTTTGTCAGGGGCTGTACCCAGACAAAGGAATGGGACTAAGGTTGGCATGCAGAGCACGCTGGGTAAGAGTCCTGGGTTCTGGGTTCAGGTCAGGCCAAGCAGGGCTGACCACAGAGTGTCTCAGAAGGACAAGGTCTGTAGATTTCTGCCCGCTAACCATAGGAACCCTGGTGGGCCCCATGCTTGAGAACCACAGGAGTCTTGTGGATTGCCAGAACCAGCATGGAAGAGGTTAAATTACATTACACGTGGTCCTGTTACACTGCACACTTTATTTCATTTTATACTATTTGAATTGTCATTAAAAACTGCATTTGTCTGAAGTATAATTTCACGCATATTGTATTTGTACAGCCAAACTCCATGATGAGATTGATCGAGTGATCGGACGAGAACGTGTCCCAAAATTTGATGACCGGTTTCACATGCCATTTATGCAGGCTGTGTTGAGTGAGGTGCACAGATTTGGTGATGTCATACCTCTAAATCTTCCTCATATGATGACCAAAGACACAGAATTTAGAGGATATGTGATCCCCAAGGTAGGAAATCTCAGTGGTTTGTTACCTGCCTAGTGTGACCTCCTTTATGCTTATCTAAAAAAATTAGTAAAACGTTCTAGTTAGACATACAGTAATACCATACTAGGTTCACAATGTTCTTTCTGAGAGCTATATAGCATCACCACCAATACAAAAGGATATTTTATTGGTCTTCCTCAATGGACTGCGTATAAATGAACTGAATCATCACTGTGGTTAACAGCCCATACCTATTGTTTGCACTAATTTATTTTATTCAGCTGTACCTATGGGCTGGAATCCCTATCACAATCAGCAACAGGAGTCTCATGTATGCACATCTAAGTGATCATGGCCATGTTTATTTTCACAGCTGGCCGTTACCCACAAAATGGCGGCAATTTAATAAACAAACAGCAATTGCATTTCGTTCTGGTCACTCTGCAACTGTCCCTTCCTGGTTTCTCAGAACTCTATTGGCAGCTAAGTATGCCAGGTGGCCTCTCTGGCCTATGGTGAGCCAAGAACATTGGCCAACAGCAGACCACATTGCTGGAAACAGAAGAGATCTTACCAATGTTTGCATTAACTCAGGAAAAAAACTGTAGACTCGTATCTCTATCAATACTCTGAATTCTGTCACCAGTGTTGATAGGGGTTCCAGACTTCAGGGCTGCTTTAAAGGTAAACAAACCCAAGAACAAAAATATATGGTGGTTGCACTAGTTTTCTCTTTTCAGATTAAATACATTTCCAGCAAGTGCAATAATACATGTTGATCGTCATAAAAATCCAGTGTCCTTGTAACATACTGTGCATTGAACTGAAATCTCAAACAATGTTATCACCCTGTGCTCTCTGGCCCACTCTTGCTCTCTTCCCCCCATGCTTCTCGGCCCCTAATGCTCCCCCCATACTCTTAGCCCCCCCGTATTCTTCCCCCCCCCAACATCTCTGCAGGTTTCCTCCCTCCCCTCTCCCGTCGGCTGCTGCGAGGGATCTGTCAGGATGGAGGGTGGGAAAGGGTCCGGTAAATGTGAAATTTACTGGGTCCTTCCTTTTCTAAATAGATAGTCAGTGATCAGTACCAATCACTGACTCTGTCCATTCATAACTGAAACATAGTAAACTGTGTTTAATATGCTTCAGTTTATGAATGGACAGGAAGCTCTGTATAGAGTTATTCCAGTCCATTCATTCTGTACATCTGAGGCTACAGAGGAGATTGAGGGATGTGTCTTTAATCTCCTTTATCTGTCTGTTTACAATTATATTGTAAAAAAAAATTAATAATAAAAAATCGTTAAAAAATTATTAAAAAGTGAAATAACAAAAATATAAAAAAACTGCTGACACCAGCGGAGGGACTACCTGAGTCACAAAGGTCGCATTTGCACCCCAGCCCTGGCATCCTGCCACCAGGCTCAGAGGGAAGGGCCTCGGCCAGGGGTCAGGGGAGCCCTTCATGGTAACTTGCACTGGGCCCCCAAAGGTTCTAGTTAAGCCACTGCACTGCACTCTTGATAATGTGACTTAGAAACTCTTTATCTTGCTCCTACGTAGGCGATATCACATTGTTTCTTTGATTAATGCATACAATTTCCACCATGCACTACTGATTACTTGCTGGCATTTGCAATGCATGCAAAGGGTAGAAAGAGAAGGATTTTAATGTTTGTATTATATGAAATATCTTGTTTGGTTTAAGGATTTTATTTTCTCATTGACAAGTTAATTTAATTTTTTTTTCTCAGGGCACAGAAATCTATCCTCTGCTCTGCACTGTCCATCGTGACCCCACACAGTTTACTATGCCGTATCAGTTTAATCCCAACCACTTCTTGGATGAGAGTGGCATGTTCCGAAAGAATGATGCTGCGATGCCTTTCTCCGCAGGTAAATCGTTTGATAAGTGACAGTATCCGAAAATGAAATTACAGGTCATTACTTATTTTGATTTTACTGCACACTGTGAGCTTCTCCCAGAGTGTATTAGAAGCTGCAGCAAGTCACTTAGAGTGGGCCTTATTTCCTGGCTGGAGAACTCCAGCATTTTATAGCTGACTGTCCCTCGCCCAGCATCAGGGCATTTTGATATTTGTATAACTCCTCCAAAAAGCCAGCCCACTGCTTGCATCACTGTGGCCAGGGGTATGATTTTCTCAGAAGCTATGAGCTCTCCCACCAGCCATGATCTGCTTGCATTGTGCGGCAAAGCACAAACACCTAGTGATGACAGGGTATGTAATAAAAACTGGAATGTAATTAGTTTAGGGTGGATATATGGAACCTGGGATGGCATAATAGAAGCAGAAAAAACTTCAGCTTTAAGATTACTTCAAGCATCCAAAAACTACCAAACTTCCAGGCTTTTGTAGCACTACCCCCTTAGGAGTCGTAAAAGATTTGGGTCCCTCTATAGTCCTGCACAGCCAAGCAATAGTCATTTCCTTCCTATCTTTCCCTCCAGAGACAGTAAATAGTCCTTGAATTTTTTTTTTTTATTATTTTACTAGGGGATTTAAACTTAGATGGGGATGAGGGATACATGGGATGCCCAAGGAAATATTGAACTGAGGACAACTTTCTCGGACTATGTACAGCTGCTTGGAGAGCTAGCCAGCCTCTCCTTGTGTAGAAATCCCTGGACAAAGGGATCTAGAGTCTGACTTTTTTTAAAAAGCACAGTACATCTGGGGATAGTCAGGTTTTCCACCAAATTCCCTCTCCCCTATTCCCGTCCAGGGGGTGTAGAAGGGGGTGTACTCCCTCTTCTGTAGGCTGCAAGTCGGTAGCTGCTTTCAGGCCTTTGCTGGGCTAACTCCTTCCTTAGCTCCACAGATGGTCCTCTCTCAGGCTGCTGATAAGGTCCAGCTTTCCTTCTGTCTGCAGCTCTCCTGGAGGCAGACCCCATTCCCTGGGCCTCCTCCCAGGCTTCACACTTCAGCGCCCGCCCTCACATCTTCCACCTGAACTCTCCTGCTGCTGAGCAGTCTCAGCTATGCCTAAAGACTGTCCCAACCCCTTGCCAAGCCTCCTGCTTGGGGATTAGTTGAGATCCCTTAAGCATACACATCAACCACTCCTCACCCCCGCCCACTGAATTCTAGAGACTTCTCCAAGTCTCTAGATCGGGGGGGGGGGTATCAGAGAGCTGATCTGCCCTGACCCAAATTTGACCCTCTGACTACTTCTCCCAGCTGCTATTCAGCCTTCTAAAAAAATAATCAACTTAGCTCCTCCTTGCTACCTAGGAGGGTGCTACACTTGCTTTGTGTAAAAATACATTTATTTATCCAGTTCATATACTTCTCACAGGAAAACGCATCTGCCCAGGGGAGAGCTTAGCCCGAATGGAACTTTTTATCTTCCTCACAACCATCCTGCAGAAGTTCATGCTGACTTCCCAGACTGAATTCACCGAGCCTGACATTGCTCCCCGGATGACTGGATTTCTAAACGCTCCCCTCCACTATGAAGTGTCATTCATTCCACGCTAGCTCTGAAGTATATTTCGGATGGAGTCTATACAGTGTGTTGACTATAAGGTTTTCTGAAGCTACTCAAGAAAATACTGTAATAAAGAGGTTAAAATTGGGGGGGTCACTTGTGACATATACAGTGCGTGGGGTAATGTGCCTTCCAAAGGAGTCCAACTGTAAATAAATGCAGAAGACTGGGGGCTCCACCACTTTTTGGCCACTAAATCATATGAAATTGAATGGGGCAGACCAAGTGGGAGGTAAAATACCAATGTCAGAATGTAATTTGACAGTTTGATGAGGCTCAGACTGTGTAAATGGCATGTGCTACTACCTCTTCTGTTGACAATTTAAAGGACATTGATCATAAAGAAACACCAAATGATGGGACTTTAAATACCCCTTCAAGGGTCAAATATACACATAACAACCTAATTAAAAATATTTTACAGCACTTTATTCCACTGATATAAAAACATGATTACATTAACCTGTTGCCGACCGCGCATAGCCGAAAGACGGCTTCACCGCGGCCGGCCAGTTCTGGGTGGACGTCATATGACGTCCTCCCAGAACGCGCTCTCCTGCGCGCCCCAGGGGGCGCGCACCCGGCGATCTCCGTGATCGCTGTGTCCTACGGACACAGCTGATCACGTGATGTGGTGAAAGGCCGATCCCACCGGCCTTTTACCACGTGATCAGCGGTGTCCAATGACACGCTGATCACAGGGAAATGCAAGTGCCGGTTCTCGGCTGCACTTTCCTCACGCTGTCAGATCGTGAGGAAAGTACTGCCGAGAACCGGCAGTTGTCACAGCGGGGATCGGCACCGATCATCAGGGCACTGATGATCAGTGCCCTGATGATCGGTGCCCAGCAGTGACACCCGCAAGTTCCGCCCAGCAGTGCGCCCACTAGCCCTGCCCACCCGTTCCCAGCAGTGCCCCCACCTGTGCCCAGCAGTGCCCCCACCTGTGCCCAGCAGTGCCCCCACCTTTGCCCAGCAGTGCACCCACCTGTGCCACTCTGCAGTGCACCTACCTGTGCCCAGAAGTGCCACCCACCTGTGCCCACCCACCTGTGCCCACCAGTGCCACCCACCTGTGCCCACCAGTGCTACCCACCTGTGCCCACCCACCAGTGCTGCCCACCAGTGCCACCCACCAGTGCAGCCCAGCAGTGCTGCCAGTCAGTGCCACCAGTCAGTGCCCAGGGGTTGTGCCAGTCAGTGCCGCCAGTCAGTGCCCAGAAGTGATGCCAGTCAGTGCAGTCTATCAGTACCCATCATCAGTGTCACCTATCAGTGCCGCCTATCCGTGACCCCTAATTAGTGCTGTCTATCAGTGCCGCCTATCCGTGCCACCTCATTAGTACTGCCTATCAGTGCCCTTTAGTGCTGCCTATCAGTGCCCATCAGTGCCGCCTGTCAGTGCCCATCAGTGCCGCCTCATCAACGCAAATCAGTGAAGGAGAAAAAATACCTGTTTAAAAAATTTTATAAAAGAAACAAATAAACTTTTTTTTTTTTTTCAAATTTTTTGCACTTTTTTTAATTTATAGCGCAAAAAGTAAAGCGCCCAGTGGCGATTAAATACCACCAAAAGAAAGCTCTATTTGTGAGAAAAAAATGATCAAAATTTCATATGGGTACAATGTTGCATGACCGCGCAATTGTCAATCAAAGTGCGGCAGCGCTGAAAGCTGAAAATTGGCCTGGTAAGGAAGGGGGTATAAGTGCCTGGTAGGCAAGTGGTTAAAAACATTAGTTATATAGGATATACAATCTGTCTCTTATCTCCCACATATAGTGGTGGAGGGACTGTTATGTTGGAGTCCTATGAAGATCTGAACTGTAGGTCGATGTGTTTTTTGCAGGGTAACCTGCTTCCACAGGACCTTAGATCTCAAAAAAGTGGATAAGGCAATCAATGTATCTATGTGTCCCTTATTGAGGTCCAAGGTGCCACAAAATGTAAAGGCACTGGAAAACAAATGATATGTTCAAAATATTGATGGAGAGCCCTAGCATGGTATGTCCTGCCAGCCCATGGGAAGACTGCTACCGGAGAGGAATAGTGGACTTAAACAGTAGAGAATTGTTGAATATATGGATAGATATATATGTCTCATGTGTCCTCACTAACCAGAGGAATCAGGGAAAGCAGGACATCGATCCCTGAAACGGTAGTAAATTGTTGAACGTATGGGCCAGATATATATCCCATATGTCCTCACTAACAAGAGAAATCAGGGACAGCAGGACCTCAATCCCATAAAAACCTGAGGACAGAGTGCACATGCAGCATGGTCTCAACAAATAAACGTACTGTATATCCTCTCCTTCCACATTTTTGCCCACATACAGTATTATTTTCAGCCCCACTCCCAGAGTTCTTCAATGTGCAACATTTTCTCGAAATGCACAGTCTTTGTAAAAAAAGTATCCTGACCAGGACATGTGTGTCCTACTTGGCCCCTTTCATTCTTCTGGCAGGTTCCTACTCCTTTTAATTGCTGTGGGCACCATAATTAAGGACCAGTCCTAGGAATGAATAGGACAAAAGGTGATTGTGCACTTTGCACATGGACTGGCCAGGATACTTTTTTCTTATAAGGGCTGTTCAGAGATTTATTAGGGTCCTAAAGTGAATAAGTCAAAAATAGTGATGAACATGTTTTAGTATGTGAGTTATACTGAGGGTGGTGGGGGTATATTTAAAGAGCAACTTGTAAGTTGCCCTTTAAAATTAATCCTCGAAGACCAAACATATAACAATTGTTTTCTCTGACATAATTTTTAAAAGTGCTAGGTCCATAGATGTCATCCTTATAATGGCTTCCTTTTATTGATTTGGAAAACACATGGAAACCAGTTCAGACTTTTCATACCTCAATGGATGCATGCTTGTCCAAGATCAATGACCTACTAAATAGTAAAGTCCAGATGACGATGGCAGCTTTAGAACATGCACTTTTAAAAATAAGTCAGCAGTGGCAGTACTTATGTTTCTATCCTCACGTGTTTTAACTTGTCAAAAAGGACTCGGAGTGCTGGATGCAAAATAGCAAAGATAAACCACCTTAAAGCTACTTACATCATCAGTTTATGGACAAAGAACTGTGCTTGAGTTATTGGGTCTGCTGCAAACATTATAAGAGGTTGTTGTTCTTCTTGTACCATGCCCCCTGAACTGTCCTCCATCTCGCAGGATTGTCCTGATAATTGAACAAAATCCCACGGGCCCTGCAGGTCCATATTAAAGTTTTCCCACACCTCCCACTTGGTCTGTATTAGCACTATGGGGCAGAGTAACCCGGTATTGAGATCGTGTGCCATAGGCAGTGGTGCAGGACAAATAATTTCTTGAGTGAGTGATTACTAAACACCAACAATAGATGTTCTTTTGCCAAATGACACACAAAAAATGGAGCATATTCTTCCATCCACTGACTTGAGCAATTGGCCATTTTTGTGACCACTGACTCAAGGGCATTTTCTCCTCTCTCACTAACCACTCCTGCAGGGGCATAATTCCTAAATATACACTGATGCCAGTGCAGTCTTCCTCCCACTCACCCCACAAACTAAGGGGCATTCTTCCTCTGTATACCATGTCACACTTGACCAGCCCACTGTATATGCTATGTTGTGCATTATATAGTCATGACCACTGTAGGCTACATGCTTTCTGTGAATTACATACCCCCTGCATGCTAGACATTAAGTTTTATGTTACATAGGCTTGGTCATTGTACTTTTATACATTTATATTACCTGTTACACAGTCCACATTACTGTACTTTTTATTTGTCTTGTATGTTACATAATACTGCCCACTATATTCTGTATGTTGTGATATATAATACATACTCTTTAACAAGGTTCTTGCTTTTCTTATTAACTGTTTTAATGAAGTTCTTTTGTAAGATAGGCACAAAGTGTTGGCTTTCTTTCTATATTATGTGTGCTGAAAATATTCAGCATAATTCACTTTTGTTGATAAAATAACAAGCCCCTCTGACTGATCAATGAACATTGCAAAGCTTTTGACACATTTTGTAGCAGATTGCAACCTTTTGACGCTCTGTTGCTGACACTTTGAAACTGAGACCTGACTATGTATAGCGGTTAGACAAAAAAAATGGAAACAATACATCAGTGGTCTCCAAACCACATCACATGGGTCGGATGAGGGCCCTTTGCTTTCCTTTATCTTGTCCTTGGGGCACCATTCTATCCACTGACATCTATGATGGGGCACCATTCCTCCCACTGATACCAATGATGGGGCACCATTCCTCCACTGGTACCAATGATGGGGCACCATTCCTCCCACAGAGACCAATGATGATGCATTCTTCTTCCCTTGAATATCAGCAATGAGACATTATATCACCTATTAGGGACCAAAAATGAGGCATTGTTTACTTACACTGATGCTGGAACAGCAGCCCCCTTAAAACCTGAAGGACAGTAAACTGGCTCTTTATTTTAGAAAGTTTGGAGACCTCTGCACTACATGATTTGCAGGTGTGAAAGTTACGACATGTTTCACATTGAAAGCAGAAATGATGTAACATTCTTTTGCTTTCGCTGTGTGATGAGACACCTAGCTAACAGGTGGGAAGCCTCACTTTTGTCATTTACTGCATGCTTTGCTAGTAATACGGAGTCATGTCAGAGCTTAATGAGCTTCAAGAGGGTAAATTGTTGGTCCCCACTTAGCTGGTGCCTCTATGACTGAAGTTGCCAATTTATTTGCTGTGTCTCGAGTTATAATATTAAAGGTTATGATGGCATAAACAGAAAGAGACAGAAGAAGAAGAGGAAGAGGAGGGCCTATATACCCTCCCACCCAGCAGCCAGCTTCAGGGAAGACTGATTATTGAAAAGTGCTGGCTGATGGGAGACACCCACTGGGGGACACCGGAACTACAACATTTCCACTCTGAGAATCACGGTGCCACCAGCAGGTGAACCAGGTACTGACAAAATAGCTATTTGTTTCACCATATGT